GACGCCACAGGAGGAAACCAGCAGGAACGGTGAGTCTGTGGGAACCAGAACGTTTCAGAACCACTTGTGGACCTGAATGTTTACTGTTAACTAATTTGGACTTTTTTTTGTTCCTGTTTCAGGTTGGGTCAGATTCCATCTTTGCCTAATTGTTTTTTCCTTCTTCATCATTTGTCTGGGTCTAGTTTCCCTTTGTGTCATTAGAAAATGGCAACAAATACAGAAAGTGAGTCAAATTTCTTCTGAGAATTGTTTATTTTCTCAATGAAACTTACAAACTCCTGTTATCGTCACTTGTAATGAGAACCGTGGACACGTCATCACAGGACACTTTAAATATCAAATGTAAACAAATTCTCTCTTTTTTTACAACACAGACTTCCTCCTATTAAACCTGCAGTCTGTAACTTTTATAAAAATATTTTTTACATATTTTTTAATCTGTCACTATGTGCTATAAGACATGTAATCTGAAAAAAAGAAAAAGAAAAAAGCTCCCCTGCTTTCTCCCAGTGCTAATTAGAAACAACCAATCATTACCAGGAGGCGGGTCTTAGCGCTGTCAATCACCCTTCTTGCTTTCTGCTACTCTGTGGAAATACATACTTATCTCATAGTGCATGCTAATGCTAGTTAGCATGACCATCGCTGACATTGGATAAATGGTTTTTCTGTAGCAGGAAGTTGTTTCTCTGCCATTAGCGAGTACATAAGGTTGCAAGTAGCGAGTACATAGTAGCGAGTACATAAGGTTGACTGACAGCGTTAAGACCCGCCTCCTGACTCTGATTGGTTGGTTCTGGTGCATTTCTCCAGACAGCCATAGTAGCTCAGGGAGGAGGAAGCCGATCTTTTCACTGATTATCTGTCTTGTACTTTCATGACATGGTGACACTTTTAACAANTNTGTAAAAAATATATAAATATTCTTGTTAAAATTTACATTCTGCAGCTTTAAGCACCTTTTTATGCACCAAACATCAGATTAAGAAACTGTAAAAGACAAAACTTAGAAAAAAATCAAACCATTTGCCTTTGGTTGATTATTTACGATTCCTCTTGGCAATAAAATGTCAACTCTTAGAAATCCTGTTTTCCTTTAATGGAGCCTCATATTTTAGCTGCAGAGATTATGAGAAATGTACTAAACATTTTATTTTAATATTAACTCCTTTTATTATTTTGCAAAGCCTCAGTACTTCCTGTCTTATACAATCAACAACCTGCTGATCACCAGTTTGGTCATCCACTCTGTCACAAGTCGGCCATGTGTTGATGCCGATGGCAGGAACTTCCTTCCTGTAGAGGTCAGCAGATCAGGCCTGCAGGTCGACCTCATCATCACTGCGTCTCCATCTGGAGCCTCATTTGAAGGGACAAGATCAGGTTCTCCAATCATCTGAGATTCATTGTATTGTTAAAAGAAACAGAAAAAGCAGCAAGCAGATGTAAAGACCGTGGAGTTTAAGTCGTTTATTATTACTGTGAATAAAATCTTTAATGAAAAGAATAAAGTTATTAAAGGGAATAAATACATTTTTAAATGTAACATCAGGTTTTGTTTAGGACCCTGAACCTGTTTGTGTTTCTCTGTGTGAAAGTTCAGGGTGTGAAAACATTTTCAGTGTTAAATCTGATAAAATAACTGAACTGAGCAGCGGCTGAAGCTGCGACGCCTCAGATATGTCCAGCATCAGAGCCACGCCTCAAACTGAAACATAAAAAAACCAACAGACGTTTTCATTGAATGTCAACGGCTGACTTTATATTTCCGACCTCTTTGAATGTTTTACTGGTTCAACTTGATAATAAATGTTCAATTTCTGAGATTTTAAGTCAGAAAAATCTTTGTATTATTTCAGGGTCTTTATTTATTTAACTATTTGTTGCTGATGTTAATAAAATAAAATATAAAATATTTCAGTGATTTATGTTTAGGTTTTTCTTTTAGCTTTGATCTTCTGCAGCCAACCTGTCACTATTTGGTTCTGTGAGTTAAATTGGACCCAGCAGAACCTCCAGTTCT